TATATATATATATATATCTTGAAATATGATAAAAATTACAAAAGTATGCAAATTCATTAAATGTTCACCAATAAAATTAAATATTTTTGTAATTTTTATTTTATTTCAGGATACACAATCCTTTGACTATAGTCAAAGACACAATCGATCTCTAGTTTAGAACTTGGAGTGGAAAAAGAACAGACCTAAGGAGATACACAATTGTAAATTTTGAGGTTAGAAAACTGATGAAGTAAAGAGCCAATATCGAGTGTTAGGTAATACTGTTCAATACTGTTCTGATCATGGCAGGTGTACTCAAAAAGGTAATTTATCTGTGCATATAACAATGCATGCTATTAATTAAAAAATCATAACTGTATGGTGATCATACATTCTTTATTGTAAAAGTCAGTATTTTATTTCAGGTAGCTATCTTCCAGATTTAATAATTTTCTCCTCTTAAAACTCAATTTTATCCTTTAATAGTATTATGGGAAATGCCTTTCTAATTAGCATTTCAATATCTAATGTACTAATAAGCGAATTTTTATTATAAATTTTTATTATATGAAACTACTGAACAAATATAGTTTTATGCATGGACAATGTATCATATCAAACACAATAACAAAATTACAAAAACATCAAAATAAGTCATGATTGACTGAAAAGTAGCTTTTAACAATCAAATCTACAATTATTTTAATGTTATTTTGATATTACGATGACTTGTATTTTACTTGATATATTAAAAAAATTTTTAGAAATTAATGACTTTAGTAAACTTCTGACTGTCACAAATTGGTTCGAAAATATTTAGGGATAAAGTCCTAAAATTTTCAAGTGTATTCTTTTTTTTCTCTAAGGAAAAATTATCACCGTAATTACATTGACATATGTTTTTGCTGTATTTGATAATAATTTACTCTTGCCACTTAAAATTCATTTGTTAACATAAATGTCTTTTGTTTGCAGTCTACATATTTAACAGGATTAGCTGTTTGCAAGTATCCTCACCAAGATTTAATACCGTTGTACAAAAGAATTTTGAACGAGCTACAAAAGTTTCCGAAAGATTATATTTACCGGAAAGAGACAGAGGAAGTTGTCAAGGCTAGACTATCAATCATGCAAGAGGTGAATAATATTGAATAAGAAGTAATTATTCTATGTAATAATATTGGATGTCATCCTTTTAGCTGTCATAGTCCACATAAATATTCTATCCTCTTGGCATTCAATGAATACTAAAGTCAAAATAACGTAGTTGTATTGTCTTGTATATCCTAAAAGGAAAACTCCTATCATGTGTTGTTTCTGATCAAACATTACATTTACAGAATGAAAATATACAAGTTGCAGAAGATAAAATAAATAGTGGACAAGTGGAAGAGCTTATAATACAGGCAAGAAACGAGCTATCGCTGACGCAAAAAATGTTGCACTGGAAACCTTGGGAGAAATTAACGCAGGAAGCACCACCCAATCAGTGGACATGGCCGCCGCATAAATAATTTTAATTTGTTATTGATATTTGTACATAGTATATACTTAATTAAATGCAAATGAATAGAGAAAAAGCGCATTATACATAAGTACACTATATTAATGTGGCATATTGTTATTTAATAGATATTCCTTGCGACTCCAGTTATCTTTTAGTTTTGCAGAAAGTATGAAGAGCTATTTAAAAATATAATTGCAGATTTGGAAGCAAAATGAATAAATAAATCCTTAAAGTCTTCATCTCAAATTATGTCAGATATATTTTTTGGAAGGAATTAAAATATTTACCATTTTTTTAAATTTGTAATTTTTTTTTACAATTATGTCATAAATTTTATCATGTAGAACAACTGCAACCGTTTACTAATAAAAACATGTCTTTTGAAACTTATTTTACAAACTTCTTTTAATTCTACAAAGTTAACAGATTTATTTAAATTAATTCAATTATATCTCTTTGGAGTTGACTGTGAGTTATGTTTCAATTGTAACTGAGCACCGATCTAGAAACTTTCACCGATTATAAACTGTCCTTTTTTGCATTTAATATTTTTTAAATTATAACATGACAGCAATAGCATGAATTTTGATGATAAAGATTTTAAAATTATCAGCAAAAATTATGGCAAAAATTATCATATAATAAGGTATCAATTTGCCAATACAAATGTGGACTCAAAGACTATATTTATTTACAAGCAATAAGACGGACATTTTGATTTTGTTACCTGAAAAATTTCTGACTATCCAATTCACCGACTAGTATTCCATTTAAAGTAATAATTTGAATTTGATACCGCTAGCTGGTGCCACCATATAGTTTAATGTGTCAAACTACGGTTCTCTTTCTGACTTCAGCACACACAAATTGACATTATTTAAACAAACATTATTTTAAAAAAAGAAAAAATATACGCCAAGTATATTAAAAAAGGTATTAAATTCTTCTTAATCAAAAACGAACATGAAATAAATTATCCAAGTATTTCATTACGCTAGACACGTAAGATGGACCGAAAGTTGCTAAAATTATCAATTAGATGATGGTAAAGAAAAAACTTGGCGTGCCCGCGGTCGAATTAAAATGCAATATTCTAGAACCAGTGTATGATTCTATCGCAACATTCTGCAGATATACATAATATATGAAAACAACAATTCAACAAAGAAGAGATATTAATAATCGCTTACTAAACTTGTAAATTGTTATCTATAATCAACTAATATATTTAAATATATATTTTATTTACAACGCATCAATTATATTATTTTTGAGTATTTTTCATATCCCACAAGTTATATCATATTATATATTCTATTATCGAAAAAACGAATCGTACATTTTGGACTGTCGATGACAATGGTAACAACGACGTATCTGAAAAGTGACGTATCTGACGTGGAAATTGACAGATCCGGACTTTGCGATATTTCCGCTCGTAAGGTACGTAGAAAAAAGATAAAAGCACATTTATTATATAATTTAAGATTTAAGTAATTGCTATCGATTGAGCGTATATAGAACTTGATCAGTTCAGCCGTTATTGAGATCTGATCATCTCAATCCCTCGAAATTCTCAGATTCGCGTAAAGGAGGCACGGCAGTGTCGCTGCGCCTGGCTTAGCGCCGAGACACTAGCGTGTCTCTAAATATCTACCTATACTATATTATTGGCATCTCGCTCTTTACTCCTTTTATTCCTACATTTCTCTCGGCCTTAATAATCGTAAAACCGGCTGTTCGTTCCTCGGTATCGCGGTGGTCCGTCCGAATCGTTCGTTCGGATCGATCGTGATTGGGTTTTGCACACGACTAAGTGCACGACGAAAAAACGAGGGGCCCGAGGCACTGTAATTTCCTGATCGTCCACCGAAACCTGACACGGGCGGTCTCTCTGTCCGGTAAAGTGCACGTTGCGCACGACCACGCTCCCGATTATTATGAAATATAAAACATATGTTCTTCGATATCGACCTTAATAATCATTTAATTGCACTTTAAAAACGAGTAGCCCTTTAAAAACGACCATAAACAAGTTAATAACGTTTATCATTTTCGCATCGTGTCGAGAATGTATTCACTTGTGAGTGAAAGCGAGAGTACTTGATTTATCATTGACATTCGTAGAAAAAAATGAATTGATTTTACAAACGTTAAATTTAATTAGGAGTCGTTAGATTTTTTAGGAATTAAAGATGTATTTATCTCAATATAATTGGAGTAGAAAGGAGTAAGATGTCTTAATGGGAAATATACCCTATTATAAATATTACTCCGTTTTACTTTATATAAGTAGATTATTTGTCTCATTATTTTTTTTTTCAAATTGCATTTTTACGAATAGACTAGCCTAGGTAGCAAATTGACGTTATTTATGTTGTTATGACATCTTCGACAATTTGACGATATCAGAGAATGACAGTAGATAACATCAGCTACCAAGAAATTCATTATACAGTTAACAATGTATGTACAGTTTATATATATATTAATCGATAGCATATATTAAGATTAATATGCAATAAAAACTGTAATAATTTTTCAAATACTACTTACCATTAGATTTCATTAATATTTATATCATATTTAGAAATATTTAATAGATAGATCTGATAATTCTAATAAAAAGCCAGATAGCAAGTAGCTTTTGGTCACAAATCATAATATTTTTGTTGAATTAGCATAAATTATTATAATTGGTAAGTTAATTTCTTTGTCAAAATATATGATTCTTTCTGGAAGTATGGATTATGGATATAAGCATTTTTTAGTATCAGTTTTAATAATTATTTGATTGTAACTCATTAAAATTAATTAAACAAATTATGATGTTTGTTATTTCGTCGCATCAAAAAAGACAAAAACTAATTCTTATGCGAGTAGTAAAAACGAGAACGTCTAATTTGGTAAAACTATTTTGGCAAATCTTGCAATATAAAGTTTTTAATAATTTTTACAATTAAATTATATTTATATAGCTAAAATTCTTTTATCGAAAAAAAAAAAAAAACATTTATAAGTCTCACCATCAATTCAAGTTATCGTGATATCGAAATTACGACAAAATGAATCCAAAATAATTAAATTATAGAAATAAATCATTAAATGATGACTTTATGATTTACTTTGCCATTATTTAAACATTATCGTGACTTCGTGTTACTTCGAAGACAGACATTTTGTCATACTACAGCTTTCTTTCGTATTCGCGTCTTACTAATGGGCCAGCCCATTTTTCAGCCCAGTATGTAATTTTCTCTAGCAAGACATAATTAAAAGACATTCTTTCTCAATACAGGTTTAATTAACATCTGCTTGTATGAATATCCTCTTAAAATTGATTGACATATTAATAATATGTTATTTTTGTCGCATCGAAAATTGATTCATATACAAGTTATAGTATGTGTGGAAGCGAAAGCACTTAATAACTGCAAATTCGACGTCTGCAATAAAGAATATATATAATAATTTTGCCGAAGCCACATTTTATTAAGGATTATTAGATTTACAAGTAAAATATTTGTTATTATTATAATTAGAGCTAGCAAACAGATATTTTGACATATTTATTGCTCTATATAGATTATAAATTTGTATGTTACAATTGTTACGAATAAACTATATAGTGACGAGACATTTTCGACCTACAACGTCGAATTTTTTTTAGCAAATATGAATCACATTAGATATATCAGCATTTTACAAGTTATTTCGTTTTATTGACATTAAAAGATTGAGATGTATTGAATGTAAATAGTATCAAATCATGTTATTATATGTGTATAAATGGATCTTCTTTACAATTAATTTAATAATTTTCATAGCATGGCTTAATATATAAGTAGTTTCTAATTCAATAGTGAACAACAAAACACGATTTATTTAAATTATACTTTTCCGTCATGCGCGATTATGATGTAATCAAAAGTCAGCAGGCCATTAAGTGCAACTGCTATTAAAAAATCAAAAGATAGTGATCTTATAACTTTTTCTATATAGGAAAACGCAATAAGTGAAAATTTCACCTATTATCTCCAATGGCAAAAATTCCATTTTTTTCCCACGTTTTTCCTCAAAGAAAAAGAGTTACATGATCACTACTCTGATCTATAATTTCCATGTTTACCAGCTTCGTTTTGATTGGTCAGTTGCCAATACTCCCAATTTCCGAGCAATCTCAATTTTCAATCTAATAGTCTAATCTAATACATGGGAGTTAAGCCATGGTATAGAGACTAGAGAGAGAGTGGAGTTGAGCTCCGGGGCGCGCCGTGACCGGCTCGCCTCGCGTTATCAGTTCTCGTTTCCCGCGGAAGAGAGCCGTCCTTGCGTCCCCCTGAAAAAGTCGTGGCGCGCGAAGGATCCATGGGGCCCCAGGGGGAGAGGCTGATAGAGAAGAGCGAAATGGAAAAAGGTGTACCGTTCTCCACTACACGGCGAGAGAGGTAAACGAGCGGCATGGCTAAGCGGGGCGAGGCGGGGCGACCATCCCCCCTTCCCCCCCCCCCCCCCCAGGTCTACGCCGCCGGTTGCGCGGCGTCTGCGCGACTCGCACTCGCCCGTGAGACGCCGAAGCGACAGGTAGCGGTACACGTTCGTCGCGCACTCTGCCCTCTTCAACCTCCTTCCCCGCCTCGTGCGATGTAAACACGGCCCGCGTTCGGCAGGTGGTCGCAGGCTGCGGACGCGCGTGCCTACGGTACCGTTCATCCCGTCTGTCGAGAACGCGGAAGAATATCCGCGAGGGGAGAGCGGTCCTCGCGTCGCGTCGCGTTTGGCAATTGACAGTGATCGGCAGTGACAGTGCATGACATCCGTTGTCGTTCGCTCGCCGCTCGCCCGCGCGATCGCAAAGTGTATTTTCCTCTTTCTCTCTCGCGCTTCTACCGGACGGTGATAGTGATCTGCCGTGCTCCAGCCGCACGGACCTGGGTTGACGAGTTCGATTAGAGTGTCACACGTCGAGGAGAGGTAATTCCCTTCCTGAACGCAGTGCTTTTCATTCACCGTCCGAGGCAGCCCGGCGGCGACGAAAGTCATCCCACGTCGTGGGAAAAGGAGCAACATCGCGGGTTTATCGGTGAGTTGAATCACCGATTTTACGTTTTTTTTTTTCAAAGAGGATTGACAGGATCGGCTGATCGTTCGATATACGTTGAGTGCGTTCCACTTAACGTTCGCGATACTCGCATGCATGCATCATCATTTCGTTCTTGTTGTTGATGACAACTACACTCACGAGCATTGCGAACGTTAAGTGGAACGCACTCAATATCGGAGCAAGCTTCACGCGATAGGATTTAACCCTTTCGAATTGAATATCTTAAGCGGTTCATACTCGGTTCTTAGATATATTTCAGGAAGTCTTAAGTATTCTGTCATAAGATGTGAACTGATCTGAATTTTAAGGTTTGTGTTTTCTATTCCTGCACTATAGAACTCTTTTTCTCGCTTTCGCCAATTATCGAACATATATCTATCTCACTTTAAGTTTCAAAAAGTGTACACTATATAGAGCAGCAATAGAAAACAGATTCGTAATCCTCAACCTTTAATTCGTATAGTGACAGCTTTATTGTAGCAACGTTCCAAAAGTATTGCAGTAACTTTGTAAACGTTGCAGCAATGTTGTTAATTAAGCTTCTGTGCTGTGTATGGAATGTCAAACATCCCGATTTTAGTAAAAAGTCCTGCTAAAGTTGCTCACATTACGTACATACGTAGAAGAATGAAGCTAATATAAAGAACATTAATTGAACGATTGCTTAAATTAATTCATTGTCAATCGAGTCGATGTGTTGAAAATTATTTAGCGTCTATCGACGATAAAGAAGCTTTGTTTTATACAATTTTATTTTTTGATCAATTCAATTCTAGTTTATTTTATGTCCATTTCTATCAATGTCAATTAACTTCGATCTCGGCTTAATTAAGAACTAGAAAAAGATAAAAGTTAAATCAACATTAAAACTAATCTGGTATAAAAACGGGCATTAGATTTAAAAAAAAAAAAAAAAAAAACTTGACAGTAAAAGCGAAAATAATTAACGAAAATTTAAAGTACGCCACACTTGACATTTGTCGTTGACTGCAGTGATTGAAATTCAAAAGCACGTGTTTTTATTTTGTCGGATTATTTATTCCACATTCATTTAATGTTCTCCCCAGTAAAAGTCACTGTATCTCGATTCGAGACACGTTGGTACGTGGGTAGGCACATACGTTTCTAAATAACGAAAGGATTAAAACCTTAAAGCTCGGAAATAAATTATGCGCGCGCCGGCGTGAATGCATGAGTAATGCGTATTGAAATAACGCGATACACAATTAACATGCTATGCCACACGCGCGGCATTTACCCGGAATAATTTGAATAGACAAATTGTCGGTTATTCGAGTGCGCGTCATAATATACTTCGCCGCAGTGATTTATTTTCGCAGCGGTGGACGCGCGAATTTTTATTACCGTCATAATATTAGCGCACATCAAAACGACAGGATCGGTAGGCATTAATATTAATGTACAACACGTTCCTCTATTTATCTGCAGCTATTTACAAACACGAATGTTATTCACAAACGTTTATGTCTCACGAACCTGTTGCCATCGATATTATTTTCCAAGAAAAGTGTTTCGGATTTATTCAAGGTTTGGCTTTAAAATATAATACGGTGAATTTGAAAGACAATTTTAATAATAAAGAGTATCCTGCTAAATCGTTGCACACTGAGAAAAAAATGTTTAAGATTTATGACTATAATTGTACAGTAAAAAATTTATTAGTTGTTTTATTTTGATAATCGTTTTCGGAACCAACTATATATTTTTAATGTATGTATAGAATTATAAATATAATTACTAACATTATAAAATAATAACTACAAAACTAGAGTTCTTAATCATAATTATTTTTATTTTTTATATAATACGATTTCTAACGTTATTTCTAATCTTATTTGCTCGATTATTGATTGTTTCAACTTGTTATTGTTATTGCTGCGCAATTTAATGAGCGTTAATTAAATATGTTTTTATAATTATTTTACTATACAATTATGATCTTAAACACCAAACACTTTTCTCTCAATGCAACCATCAGTTTCATGATTAAAATGTGATATTTTAATAGAAAAACGTTACATATTTTTATTTCCTGTGAAATTTAAAAAATGTTGGACGCAATTCTCGAATCAACAAAATATCCACGTTCGTTTGGAAAATAAAACAATCGAAAGGGTTCAATTTAGTGCGTGTTTTTCAAGGAATTAATCTCGGAGAAAATTAAATCTAGATATTCAATGTTGCATCGAATCCTTCAGTTTATAATTGCGAAAAATAGGTTGTGAGTCGTGACCAATTTCGTCGAGAAAATTGCGGCATTCGCACGTGCAATGGGCACGTGTAGGTTCGTTGACACGGCGAGCGGGCTGCACGCCCTATTTCCATTCGTATACCTTCGCCACATGTAGTATCATATACTTGTGAGAGCGCAGGTGATATCTATAATACACACGTCCCGAGTCCGCCACGATTAGTTTTTGACTGTCTCGCGTGACGTTAACCTGCTTTTGAAACATTGTATCACGATTTACGTTCTCATCTAGTTAATCAGGTTAATATCCATCGGATAGTTCGCGTTAAATTTACTCTTTAAATAGACGTAAGTTAAATAGATGTAGGAACACATTCATTACATTTTATAGATAGAATGTCTCTTTCGTATTTCATTCAACAAAATCATTCGTTTTGATCATACGTGTAATAAACAGACTGTATTTTCCTTGAGCTTACATCTTTATAATGTTAAATCGTCCCCAGTTTTTGAGTTATTTTTAATTATTTCTACACTGAGAAAAAATTGACTAAATTAATTCAATTCGCCTTTATTTCTTACGTTCGAGAATGTTACGCACTTAAGTCGCAAATATAATAAATATGTTTGTAAATATATACATTCTTTTGAAGAAATAAAAGCGAACTAAATTATTTTAGTCAAATGAACAATTTTTGGTGAATTATGATGAATCGCCCTAATTTTTTTAAATTATGCTGCCGAAAAGGAAAAAGTCGAAGAAAAAACAAAGCAGAAAGAATGAACAAGGATAAGTGAAAAAAGGGAAAAGGAATGCGAAGTCCAGGCGATCCTCGCGATCCGCTGCCAAGTCATTGATCGTTCACGGTGACTATAAATCCCGAAACGTAGATCGGCAGCCCATCGGATCCGCGTTTAGTTATGGCTGTGCTCGTTATACGCACTAAGTTCGCCATGTGCATCTCGCACATATATACGCACGAGCGCCAGATACAGACGTACACGACGATATCGCGTGCGAACGTGCGTGCGTGCATGGTTAAGGAATGCATCGAGAATTTTCATTGCGCGTGATCCGGATTTTTCATGGCTGCGTCGGTAGCGTCGCCGCTTAGGTGAAAATTAATAGTTGTTTACCTATAATAATTCCCCAGGTGATCAACCTCTGCGAGAAGACAGTTACTGCGACCATATTGCGTTATACAGGAATGCACGTTTGGATTATCGTTGTGATTTACGGGCCTTTAAACGTGGGAAAGTCGCCGCTTCTTTCATTTAGGCTAACGATCGATTTAACCTCCACAAAGATATTCGCACTCAAAAGAGATAGCAGCTTTAGAATTTGTTTTCAAAGGTCCAATAAAACGTTTGTCCGCAGTTTATCTTGAAGAATCTTATTATCATTATAGTTAATCGATTATTAAATCGCTAGTAACTGCCGCGGATTATTGCGGATTTTTTTTTATCAATATTACGGCAGCTAAATTGCTGCAAAAAGTTTCCTAAATTTCTTTGAACTTTTGAAGCTTTTTGTGTCTGAATTATTGCGATTGGCAATTTAGAGAAAAGAACGAGAGGTTCACAGTTAAAGATTATAGACTTGAATTAACAATGATTTATCAGTTTAATCTTTGAATTTAAATCTTACATTAAGATTAATTTTTTGATTGAAAATGAATAAACGAGAAAATACCGATTATATCAATCAGAATTTTAATTATCTCAATGTATAATAGATTCCATTTTCAGAATTCTAATTAAAGTATAACCGCAGTCGCTTTTTCCAGTGTAGAATTTAATCTTAGAATGCAGAATCAAGAATATTTACGCGAATCTCCTCGAAACTATTCTATTTAAAATATAATTACTCGACTATAGAACTTTATATCGAATATATAGTAGAATTACTTTGCAAATCTGGTCAAGTTTTTTCGTGTCTTTTTGTAGCTCTTTCACGGCGCGAAAGACAGGCGATCGCGATTATATTTCCAGCAAAAAGAATAGTCGCACGGCGGACGATATTTTCTTAGACGGAAAACAATGCCGGACGGAGATGAGCGCATCTTTCCGCTTGCAGCCAAATACAATACACGATTTTTACGAGCACCGGTCGGTGGAGATGTTATAGCTTTCGTGGTATAACCGAACGAGAAGTAGTCAGACGGACAGCTGAAAAGTTTCGCATGGCTATATGAGATTCCCTGTTGCAAGGCACGCCTATAAATGTCGTATTCTGCTGCGACTTACTGCGTCTTTCGGAGTGTCGTTTCCTTCTCTTCGCCGCATTCTGCGAATTTTCCACTCGGCATTTATTTCCCTGCACGTACTCGCCGAAGTGGCGATAAATTAAGTCGGAAGTATTCTTGCTCCCTGTTACTAGTCAATTATCTTCCTCTGACAGGTAGCCTGTTCAATCCTCCTAAGCTGATAGGGTAGGTCTATTGAATCCACGTTATAAATCTTCTTTGTAAAAAATGTGAAACACACACAATTTAATTTTCTGTTAAGTATATACGTCTTCAAATTGGATAATTCTTGTATTTGCTGAAGTCTTTGAAGTTGAATCTCACTCTAAAGAATAAAAATTATGTCAATCTTGTAAAAAAGTGGCTCATTTTCAGTCTTTAAGAGCGAGATTTCACTCTTCACGGTGAGATTCACTCTATAAAAGTTCTAGAGAGTACTTATTAAAATAAATTGTACTTACTTAGTACTCTTTCTTTTTAACGAATTTGTCATTTTGAAAATTAGTGTCTTGGAATTAATT